CCTTGAATAGGTCTTGAAATTGAATTAATATCAAGTTGCCCGTATTTATCCATTATATCTTTTAAAACAAAATCTTGATATTCTTGTCGAATTTTTGAATTCGGTTTAAAGCCAAATGATGTGTCCTTGTCATCAAGTTCAACTGCATGCGACGTTTTAGTAATTCGATTTTTGAAAATAGTATTGATGAATTCACGTGCTTTAGAACTTAATAAATCGAACATATTCTTTGAAATATAAATATGATCGATATAATCAAGTGGTATTAGTTGAGGCAAATGAGCTTCAATGCTATGATGTGAATCCCGAGAAAGCCAACGATCAAGAATTGTTTCTAAATCAATATCCATTGATTTTTTCTTTGATTCGAAACTAGTCAAAGCAATAAGTTCAAGAGCAGTTGCATATTCATAGCCGGGTATTGCTGCATGTAACTTCGATTTGTGGAAAAACTTGATTCGTTCTTCTTTGACAGTCATCTCCTTTCCTAGCCAAGGGCGCCATTTGAAGCAATTTCCACTTGCATATGATGTTGCTGCTTGAATAGAAAAGTTTGCATCTGGATGATGAAGAATTTCCCGTTTAAACACCAGAAATACATCTCCATAGTAGTGCCCTAAATGAGGTCCAAGAACGGTAAAAACATTTCGATTTGTTCCTAGTTCTTTGTCAGGAGGATGACCGATGCCAGCAGGATTCGAATGAAGTTTTATAGAAGCTTGAGCTATTTCAATTGCTTTTGTTTTAATTGTTGTAATTTCATCTTCAGAAAGTATATTCGATAGAATAACTTCTTTATTTTTAATCAATTCTTTAGGAGATTTCAACTTATATGTCTCACCAGATGTTGTATCTATTTTAGTGGTGCCGGCGATGGTTACTCCTAATGGGCGTGGTTTCTCAAATTCCTCAATAACTAATGCTTGAATATATTCTTTTGCATCTTTCGCACATTTTTTTCCTTTTAAATATTTAATTTGTTGTATTTGGCTGTGTTGAAAAACAGATGTAGCAACGAAAATTGGATCTTGCAGTTGATCCATATAATCTCGACTCATAACATGTCCATGGAGAAATATT